GGGAAGAACATAATGCAGCTACTCCTGTGGATGGGGCAAAGACTTTCCTCTCAATCCCGAGTCAACACAATCTTGGGGCCTTGCCAAAAAAAAAAGGGGGGGGGAGTATGGTGGCCGCGGCTTGAAGAGATTTAAAAAAGTGTGGGGGGGGTTGAAGTGGAAGAATTCGGGCACATTTGTGCAAAATCTGAAAGCTATATATTGATATGCCTCTGACATTGATTAGCTGGAAAGATTTAAAGGTAACAGCTTTAACTTTTAGGAATTGTGGTGGAGGTATATCTTGGAGGAGCGGAAAGGAGGGTGTGTGCATGCAGAGACAGGAGATTGCAGGGAGCCAGGACTCCCACCTCTCCAAATTTAGGAGGCTCACTCTTCCACCCTCTCATTTCTGCCGAAGGGCTGTGGCTCTCAGCTTGCCCGATCCTTCTTTGGCTCACCTCCTCCCACCCCGCCCCTGGGGCTTAAGGGGCGGAGCCACCCCTGCGGCCCGCCCCTTCGATGTGCGCCGGTGCGGCTATGATTGGCCAGCCGCTTGTGACGTACAGGGACTGCGGTGGGCTCTGGTGCAGCGGTAGCTGCAGCGCCGGCCGGGGCTCTTGCTCCGGCTCCGGGGCACTTAAAGGGGACGCGGCGGCGGCCCTGGGACCAAGGTGGGAGGTGGGTTTCGGGGACGGGTTGGGGGCGCCAGACGAGCCAAACTCGATCTGCGGCCCCTTGGGTTGGGGGACCTGTACATCGGAGCCCGGGAACTAAGGGGAGCTTAGGACACCGCGTCCCCTCTTGACTCTGCCCCCCTTATTCCATCCCGCACCCCAAAATCTCATCCAAGCCCCTGTCCACCTCTCACGCACACTACAAAAGCTCAACCTGGACACACTGCTGCCTCCACGCCACCGTTGTTGCTGTCGCCGCCGCCACCGCTGCTGTCGCTGCCACCGTGCCAATGTGAGTCCCCAGAGAAGAGGGTCTAGGGTCCGGTTTTGGGGTGAGGGGCTTAGGTGGTGTTTAGGGAGCGGCATTGCTCGTTGCAATGCGTGGCCGAGTGAGAGGCTACAGCGTATGTTTTGGGTGTATTTGTCGAAACGGGGAGGCAGAGGGGAGGTGGGGGAACTGTTCTGATTCCTACCCCAAGCCGGGGTAGGAATTTGGAATCTTCATGCACCACCCCCCCACCTTCCCCTCCCAGGAGCCAAGCCTCATTTGGACTCCATAGCATGTGTGCCCATTCTCTCGCTGGCACTCTCTTGCAAAAGCTTTTGTCCACCCTCTGCTGCTTCTTCCTTACTCCCTCTCTCCCCACCCTAGTTTGACTCTAGCCTTGCCTGGTTCCCTGCTTTCTTTGGTCCACCTGGTCCTCCCAGTGCCCACTCCCCTTGTCCTTCACCCTCCTGCCCTAACAAGACATACCCTTGGTTCTCTCCCGCCCCTGCCCTTCCCCCACTCCATCTACCCCCTCTTCCCCAGAGATGAGCCCGGGCCAGCTGGGGATGTTCCAAAGTGTTTCCTTCACAGCCATCTCTAAAAATATCCCACTCTCACCCTCTGCCACCTTCCTGACCTCAGCGAGGAGTCCATTCTGGTCCAGCAAAGACACTGATGGAGTCCCCTAGGAGGAGCTACCCTCATAGCGTCCTCCCTCACCTTATTCGTTTGGGTTGGGTTGGGTCGGGTCTTATATCTGCCCCTCCTTCCTCAAAGGTTACAGCTTAATAGGGATTTCCTAATAACTCAAGAAGAGTTAAGCAAGAGATTGGGGATGCAGGGGACACTTAGAAGAGTGTAAGGGGTGGGAGGTGTGAGTGTATTTGCGGGGGTGATGAAGATATTGGCTAGAATTACTGGAAGGGAGACCAAAGAGCTTTGTAGTATTCTATTCGTGGCTGTGCTGTGTGCTCTGGGGGAAGTAGCTCAACCTCTCTGGACTTTTTACTTATGTACCTTCAAGTAGGTAGTGAGGAATCCTTCTGCCTTCCAGAGATATGAAGGAGGAAGACCCTGTGATGAAGAGGAGCCCAACTCGGGAAAGGAGGATGATCTTCACTAGATTTTAATGTATTCAGTGGTGAACTGAATTTTGGTCTTGGACCGACAGATTACTATGTATTTTCACAGTCCTCATTTCCTACACCCACGTCCCCATTTGGAAACAACCCTGGAGATAGTATCCCCACATAAGGAGGATGGAGGCCAGATTTTAAATGTGGATGCTGGGTACAGTTAACCTTCCTGTTGTTGTTTCAGTCCTGTGCTACTTTTTGTGACCCCATGGACCATAGCACAGATACTGTCCATGGGGTTTTCTTGGAAAAGAGACTGGAGTGGTTTGCCATTTCCTTTTCCTAGGCATTAAGGTAAACAGAGGTTAAGTGACTTGCCCGGGATCACACAGTCACTACTGAGATTCCTGTCTTCCTGGCTCCAAGTGCAGCAGTCTATCCACTGAGACTTTTAGCTGCCTCTGAGGTCTGTCCTTTCTGATTCCAAATTCTAAGGGTCCCCACCTCCCAGATAGAAGAAAGTTATTTTAAGCTTGGAGAGATAGGAACCCTGAGATTTTAAGTTTTCTACCTTTTCCTGGGCTTAGTCTTTGCCTCCAGAGAAGGGGAGGTGTTACGTGACTGGGGAAGTGACTACCTTCCCAACTGGAGTCAGGAGAGGCTAGAGTTCTGCTGATTGGCTCTTTTGATAGGGTTGGGTGGGGAAAAAGATGGAGCTAAGATTTCTCTCCCTATAAAAAACTATACACTCTCCTCTTTAATTCTCCAGGGTGGGAGGGAATGAATGTTTCCACATCCTACCCTAGACTTATTCCTAGAGGAATTCCTTTTGATGAAGCAGAGGGATAGAGTTAGGACACTGAAGTGTTGAGGTGAGTAACCCATTTGAAACCTAGTTAGAGGGAAACAGATTTGGATTCAGGTCTGAGCCATCCACCTGTATCTCTGCTGATGGTGCCAAGGAGAGGAGGGAAGCTTTACCTTCTGCATCTCTGCCTGATCCCCATGGAGGCAGGGAGATAGAATGACAGGGTTCTTTGTGTTTGGGACTTGAGGAGAAAGGGAGAATTGAAGCTGATGGGGCAGGAAGAGTAAAATGGTACATGGAGAGCCTTTCCCTTAGGGATTCAAGAATAGGGCAGAGATTTGGCAGTGGTGTTACCACATTAATAAGGACTCAATCTCAAGCTCTCTTACTACTACTGTTTGTCTCTGGTCCCGATCAGTGTTTGCTTGGACTACAGGAATGCTATCTCCTGGCCTTTTTTCTCCAGTAGGAGACCTTCTCCTGGCCTATCCCCAATACCTGTTATCTTTCTGGAAAAGGCTGGCAGAGTTGCCTACACCCTACCCCATGAGCGGATGTCCTAGGGGCAATATTCCCAAATTATTTTTCAATTTTCCCCATCTTTTATGATTTCTTACCTCCCCCTTCTCCATTTAGTGTTTCAATTTCCCAGTGGGCCTACCTTCACCACTTTCTGCAGTTGCCTTCTTGCTGACATTGAATCCAATAGGCTCTTCTCTGAGCTTAACAGAACCTGAGTTCTGTTAGATGGGAAGCTTCCCTGCTACTCTGTTTGTTTTTTGTTTTTTTGGGGAGTTTTTTGGCATGAGAAATGAGACAAGGTCATCTTTAGGGATGTGGAGTTCTTCTCTAGACCCTGTCCTAGGTGGGATCTTTGACTAATAGCCATAAGGAGTTCTCAACCTCTCAATTACCCCAGGAAGCAATGGATGAGTCAACCTTGAGGAAGCTGGAGGGGTCCTGCATCTTACTGTAATTGACAGATAGAGGGCAGCAACCAACAGGACATTCAACCCCTCCTAATTCTGATTCTGATCTTTTCCGTCCAAATGCTCCCACTACCCCTTAGGGATCAGGGACAGTCTGGACCCTGCAAATGAAACTCTCCAATTTAGACTTCATTGACTAGGATCCTGGAGAGGAAAATCAGCTTCTCTGGTGGGTGCCAATGAGATTCATGGAGTGACCAAACCAAGACCTTTCCTCCTCCTGTTCCCATGTTTTCTATCTTGGATGCCGCCTCCATCGCCACCCATCTGTTTTCATACTCCAAGAATACTTGGTCAATTGAAGTCCGTGTACTGACACTCAGAAATATATACTCTCCTGGCTTATTAAGAGAGATACCCACTTCCCACATCACCCCTAAGTGGAAGCTATGGAACCCAAGTGTTCCCTAATTCCTTAATGTTGCCTAAAAACAAAGTCTGGCATTTATGTAGTACCTTTTAGTGTGCAAATTACTTCACATCCATTATAATAACAACCATTTATATAGCCATTTAAGGTTTGCAAAGTGCTTTACACATATTCTGGGTGGTCCCAAAGTCTAAAAAGTCCACCCCTTATTATCCTCACAGCAATCTTGTAAGATGTTGTACTATTATTAGTATTCTCACTTTGCAGATGGGGAAACAGACTGAGAAAGGCAAAAGCACTTACCCAAATTAACTTAGCTAGTGAGTGTCTAAGGCAGGTTTTGAATTCAGGTCTCCCTGACTGACTCCAAATCCAGTGTTCTATCTACTGTGCCATCCATATCTCATTTGATCCCAAAGACTCATCGAGAGGCAAGTATTTACAGATAAGGAAACTGAGAAGTTCAGAGATGTTAAATGATACCCACAGGCTAGTAAGTGGCAGAGCTGGGTTCTGAGTCTTCCTCCTGATCCTAGCTCTTTCCACTTTATTACAGCTACTACCCCAGCACAAGGTAAATGCTTTAAGAAAAAATGCTGAGTGATCCAGCTGCCACTGCCTTCCCTCACTGGTGGGCACAGGAGTAGAAAGGATGATGAGCAGGTATTTGGAACCTCCTAGCACTGAGCCTGTATGTGCTGGTCAGCCCCTCCAATAGGAAACAGCAGAGCTCATTCCTTGATGGAGTACATAGGAAATCTGGATTCTTTGTTCTCCACTGACTTTTCTCATGTGATTAGCAGGGAGATCAGAATTCAGCTTTTGGGAACTACTGGTAAAAAGTTTCAACTGGCAGAGCCCAGGGTAATGTCCTGAGGATGAACGGGTGTTTTCGAGTCACGGGCTTGAGATGTCTGTCTAGGGTAAGTAGCTCCCTCTGATGGCCATTCAAGTGTTTGTGGAGGGGTATCGGGAGGGAAACAGCCATAGGTCATCCAAAGGGCTGCCCTAATGCACAGGGTATAAATAATTCCCCTAAGACTCTACCCTTTAGCTCTGAATCCTGAGGTTATGTATATCCCACTGGGAAGAATTACCAGTGCCTTGCATCCAGTACAAGGCTCTCCATTGTGTCCAGCTCTTCCAGTATCCTGGGGCACTGGGTGTCTCAAGTACTTGGGAAATAGGGTCACCCAGAAGCAGCCCCATTGGTCAAGTAGAAGGGCCAGCTTCATATCCCAACTCTGGAAAGTAATACGTAATCTTGGGGAAATTGATTTGCCCTTTTTGTACTATGGAGACAAAGACAATCACCTTGGCTCTATCCTTCCTCTTTCCCCTTAGGTGAAGACAGAGGAGATGGAGAAAGGGGAGATGCTATATAAATATATGGCTTTCTCAGTTATTTACTTAGTCAAGAGTATTTGTGTAGAAAGGTATCTTAGAGATCATTCAGTCTACCTCCTCATTTTACAGGTGAAGAAACTGAGCATAGTTAGATGAATGGCTTGCCAAGGCTGCATAGCAAATGAGCATGGTAGAACTAAGACCCTGTTGTCCTGAGTCCATTCCTCCATGCAGTGATTTGGGGTTAGGAGAGTAGGGTTGGAGGAATTCAGAATATTCCAAAATAGTATGTAATATTTATCAACAAGACTGTTTGCCAGTCAGTGGAGGGAGAGGTGGGTTTCCCCGGGTCTTGCTCCTTTCTTCTATTCCTTTCTGACATTGTTTGGCTCACTCGCCTTCTCCTCTTCCTCCTCCCTTCGTCTTTCTGCTCCCTGTCCTTGCCACTCCTTTATTTCAGCTCTCCTTGGCTCCCCATACTGAACTCTTTTCTACATCATCTCCCTCTGTCTCTATCCTTCCTGGCATGATGGACCTTTCCCCTCCTGTCCTCCTCTTTCTTTACCCATTACCCCTTCTGTTCTAGTGCCACAACTTCTATCTCCTCTGCTCATGGGGCTACCTCCCCCATCTGGTCAGCTTTCTTGCTTCTTTTCTCCTTCCTATTCTCTGTCATTGTCCCCCTCCTCCCTGTCTCCCAGGTGTGCTGTACTTTCCTGCGGGATGGTCCCACACTCCCCAGCCCCAATTCTGCTGTCCGGCTGCTTCGAACTCTGGCAGAAACCCCGCCTGCTGACACCCCCCTCCTGGGGAACTGGCAAGTGATTAGTGATGAACTAATAGTTGGGAGCCCTTGGGAATCTCAGACTTAGCTTAGCTACAGGAACTTTTTGCCTCCACACTTGTGCAGGAAACTGCAACAGAGGCACTCCTTGCTTTCACCTTCTTCTAGAACAGGGATTCTTAACCCAGGTCCCCCAAGGAGTCTGAGGACAGATTTCTGGGGTCTGTGAACTTGAATGAGAAGCAAATTAACTTTTAACTGAAATTTAGTACTCTGTTCAATTATAAATATAGGCAACAATATGAAGGGATCCACAGGCTTCAGGAGTCTTCCAAAGGGAGACACAGAAAAGGTTACAAACCTCTGAACTCGAAGGGCTAACATCCAGGTCTCTAGGAGACTTCCCAAGCCACCATTCTTGGCACTTAGCCTCATTCTAGAAATCTACAGCTTGGAGAAGCAGTCCTTTATTTTATGCACCCTAGGCTGGGGACTCTCTCCTTGGCCACAACCATGCTAGCCATTCCTTCTGCTTGGACAGTCCCATGATTGCTTCTGGGAAGTAAGAGAGAGGAATGAGGAAATTCCATGGGGTGTGTGTGTGTGTGTGTGTGTGTGTGTGTGTGTGTGTCTCCTCTGAGTGCCACTGGAATTTATGTTGGGGGTAGAGGAAGGAGACATAAAGATGGGGTTAGGAATTCTATACAGAAAAGGACTAAAAAGGGCAGAAAAGATGGCCCTAGGAACGAACTAGAAAGAATTCGTTATGTGAATTGAGAATATGGGGTGGGGAGGGGGAGTCAGCTGTCGCCTTTACACGGTCTACTGGACCAAAGATCAAGGACACAAAAAAGGAGCAAAAAAAAAAAAAAAAGAGCAGCTAATTCAAAATACGACACCCCCCCCCAATAAGTTACTTTTATTTGGGGAATGTGTCATAAATTTCTCCTGGGAAAGGAGTAGTAATCAGACCCCCCGATCCAAAAAAAATTTTTTTTGCGAGGATTGAAAAATTATTTTGCAGCCATTTGCATTTCAGGGGTGAAGGTTTGGGGCAGCCACTACGTCGGTCTGGGTTGGGGGGGCGGTGTTTAAGAAGTGCCTCCTTACCTGAACTACAGATAATGGGGATTTTTCTGATGAAAGAATCTAAACCGAGACAAAGAGGGAGGAGTGGGGAATGGGCGGCGGCCCCCGGGTCTCGCAGGGTTGAGGCTACGCCAAGGCTAACTGAGCCCTTGGGTCCCCCTCAGGTGGTGGATGTGGCTGCGGCTGCGGTTGCGCCGCTGGCCCCGACGGCTCTCTAACTGTCCTCTCCCCGGCGGGCTCCTGCCGCGCCGCTTCTCACTTGCTCCCTCCTCCCAGGACGGCACAAGGATGGCGGAGCCAGGGGTGCCCCGCTTCCTGATAACCTTCGATTTTGATGAGACCATAGTGAACGAAAACAGCGACGAATCAATCGTGCGCGCAGCCCCGGGTCAGAAGCTGCCTGACAGCCTGCGGGCCACGTTCCGCGAGGGCTTTTACAACGAGTACATGCAGCGGGTCTTCCAGTACCTGGGTGAGCAGGGCGTAAAGCCACAAGACTTCCGCAAAGTCTATGAGGACATCCCCCTGTGTCCGGGCATGACCGACCTGTTCCAGTTCCTGACCAAACAGGGCAGCTGCTTTGAGACCATCCTTATCTCAGACGCCAATACGTTCGGCGTGGAGAGCTCCCTGCGTGCTTCGGGATACCTCGGCCTCTTCCGAAAAGTCTTCAGCAACCCATCGGGCCCAGATGAGCGTGGCTTACTGGTGTTGCAGCCCTTCCACAAGCACTCCTGCACTCGCTGCCCTGCCAACATGTGCAAGCACAAGGTGCTCGGCGACTACCTGCGCGAGAGGGCTCAGGACGGTGTGCACTTCGAGCATCTCTTTTATGTGGGCGACGGCGCCAATGACTTTTGCCCCACAAGGCTGCTGGGGGTCGGCGACGTGACCTTCCCGCGCCGCGGCTACCCCCTGCACCAACTCATCCAGGAAGCCCAGAATACCGAATCCTCTTCGTTCAGGGGCACCGTGCTTGCCTGGGAGTCAGCAGCCGAAATCCGTCGCTACTTACAGGAGGTGGTGAAGAAATGCTAAGAGCCCTGGAAGGGACGGAGTGGGCGGTCTGGCTGGCCAGCTGGGGAAGGCGCAGCTCCTGGGCTCTCCCACCCCTCACCCGCTTTGTGTTTGCCTCCGACTGGGGACCCGGGAAAGCGAAACCGTGTTTTGATTACCAACACAAGAACTTTCACCCCCGACTCCCGAATTCGCTTTAGTTTATCCCTCCCTCGGACCCGGTACTTTCCAGCTGTTCTGCAAGGACCCTGGGCTCCATCCATTTGGAAGATGGAAGAGGGGCAGAAATACACACATATATACATATATACGCATACAATGTATATATATGTGTATATGTATATGTCTATATCTATCTATATATTACATATATAAATGAGGAGGCAGTAACCATCTATGCAGTTAGCCCAGTCGGGCTGTCCAGAGTCGGGTCCTGACAGTCCGGCAGTGCACACCTATTTGAGGGGAGCCAGGCAGTTAGTCCTACCTGACATCGGATTTCGGCGGCAGGGCTTCCAAGATAAACGCCTACACTACAGTTATTTTTTGTGGTGAGGCTGTTCTGGGTGGGGAGGGGTGAGGGATTTAAATAGTTGTTTTCTGTCCCTGCCACCAATGTGCAACTACCGCTCCTCAGCCTCGGGGAAACCTTCCCAACATCCTCAGGTCCCCAGGCCATAACCCACTTCTATCTCCCTGCTGGGAAGGAAGAACACACTCAGCCCCCTGTCCATCTGCCTGCTTCTGATCAACTCAGCTTGCACCCAATGACCCCTATAGAGCCCCCTTGCCCACCCATTTACAAAAAAAAAAAAAAGGGGAGGCGGTTGGAAGAGCCAGGGAAGCTGTGGCCCTCTGGTGGAACGAGGTAGCCTCCAGCCACAACTCTCCTAGGAGTTCCCACCCTCCACCCCCATCTATGCAGCAAGATGCCAATGACCTCTCCAAGCCCCTTCTTGGATTGTTTGAAACTCAAAGCCGTGACGTTTTTAAGCAGAGCCAGCACAAGCCCGAAGTCCCCCTCCTTACCTTTCTCCCTGCTGTGTTTGAGAGCGATAAAGGAAGTGAAGAGGGAAAAGGCATCTGAGTGAGGTCTCCTTGTGTGGGAGGCAGCAGGAGGGAGGTTGCCATCAATTGATCAGCCTTTTTTTATTTTCCTTTTTCTGAGCCTTCTCTTGAAGGCAGAGTCTTCAAATACAGGGCATATAGGTAGTCTCTGCTCTCAGGGACTTCCCAGTGTAATAGGACCAGGATAGAGGAGGACAGCAAGGTAACAAATCCAGCAAGAGAATAAGGCCTAAAGGTCCCCCAAATCTAGAGCGTAGGCACTGTCTGATCCAGCCTAACATAGGTGAAATGATTTGTCCAAGTCACACATAACAAAAGTTTCCTAGAAGAGGGATGTTTTGGGTCGTTGCCCTAAGCTTTAGTGGGGTGACATCTATTCCAAGGTTGGGGATGATGTTCATATAGTGGACCCTCAAATGTTTTCAATGAAAATTAGAGATGGGAGAGGAGGGATCAGAACAAAGGCAGGCTAATTTTATACTCTCGTCCCCAAGCAGGAACAGTCAAGACTTTTATTCAAAATGGGATGGGAAATAATCTCCATTCTTGGAGACATGATTACCAAATTTTGGACCATAATTCTCACCCACTGACAAAACATCTGCTAGCACCATCCCTTGTTCTTGCCTCTCCATCTCCCTAACCTCCCACCCCACCCAATATAATTCCACCACAGCCCATAAGACCAAAAAAAAAAAGTTCAGTCTTACTTGGGATCTTTTGGAGCTGATGCCTGATTTCTGTTTTTGTCTTAACTACTGAGTTTCTCTTTCCCTTTATTTGCCCCAACTTGTCTCCAGGAATATTGGGAAAAGGGCACAAGGGAAAGGTAGATAAACGCATCACTTTGTCCCTTTTTTGGTACCAGAATTCCCAGGTGGTATGAAGGACAGGCTATTAGTAGCTTGGTTCCACGTAGTTTCCAGGGAAGAAGCCAGAACCCGCTGAGGTGACACCCTCACACCAACCATCCGAGTAGCGTCGGGTGACACAGATGGTGGTGCCCACATCAAAAGAGAGCTCGTTGTCTTTCTGGCAGGTGTAAGGGTACAACGTCACCACTGTGGGAGAAGGGGATATCACACTGAGACCATCAGGTAGTGAGGACAGGGAAACTTGGTATGTCACACAGGGGATCCTGGGTTTGAATCTTGCCTCAAAGCTAGCTGTGACCTTGGGCAAATCACTTGATTTATCTTGGCCTAAGAGGTAGTTCTCTTAAGGTCCCTCACAGCACTGATCCTATGAGCTCTGGGTCTCAGGACTAGGTGATCCCAACATTGAACAATGGAGAGTACAAGATAAAGCCCCAGGGTTTTGCCAAAAGATCTCTTCCTGGAAGAAGTACTATATTCCTAAAGAGTGAATGAGAATCCATTTCAGAGGGCAAGCCGTTAGGATGCGCATAAATTTCGACTATTAGTATGCAGTTTTAGGCTCACTATCCTCTTGTTCATGACTCCATTTGGGGTTTTCTTAGCAGAGATACCGAGAATGGTTTTGCCATTTCCTTCTCCAGCTTATTTTATGGATGAGGAGACTGGGGCAAACAGAGTTAAGTGACTTGCCCAGGGTCACATAGCTAGTAAGTGTCAAGTGTCTGGGGCGGGATTTGAATTCAGATTCCTGAGGCAGAGCTCTATCTACTGCACCACCTAGCTGCCCCTGAGATTTGAACTCTTGAAGAAGAGTCTTCCTGACTCTATGCATGGCACATCCACCCAGCTGCTCTCTTCATGTCTACCTCTTACAATGTTGGAGTTGGACAGGACCTCAGGCTAAATCTAATTCATATCTGAACAGCCATTCCCCTTAGTAATAGCCCCAACAGGTTGTTGTTGAACTTCGTTTTGAAGACCTCCAGTGACAACTCATTTCCTCTGGAACTCACCAATCTGAATCTACCTCTCTAGTTGTGCCCCATATAACCAAAGAGAACAAGTCTTATCATTTCCTCCCATGACAAGTTTTCATCCAATTTACTAGTCCATTTGCTATGGTGCCTAGAACATGACACTAAATGAGATCCAACTGTCAGATCAGAACAGGCTAGAGAAACTATGATCTGATTCAGCATACTCTACCTCTTCATTGCAGCAGATTTGGTTTTTAGCTGTGATGACACATTGATTCAAATTAAGCATGTAGTCTACGAAAATGTCCAGTTTCCACATGAATTGTTATCTAGCCACATTTACTCCATGTTTCGCTTATGCCATTGATTGTTTAAACCCAAGTGAAGGATTTTGCATTTGCCTCTATTACATTTTATCTTTGAACTGGCCTTTCATTCAAAATCTTTTTGGATCCTGATTGTATTAACTATTTCTCAGCCTTGTGGCAACTGAAAATTTGATAAACCTATCAATTGTGCCTTCAAGTCATTGATTTTTTAAAAAGTTAAGCAGTATAGGGTAAAGGAGAGATATTTATGGCACTCTACACATATTGCATAGTGTTGGGCTTAGCTTAGGAAAATCTGAGTTCAAATCTTTCCTCATACAGTTACTAGCTGGATAACCCCAGGCAAGTCACTTAACCTCCTTCTGCCTGTTTCCTCAGGTATAAAATAGTGATAATAAGACTGAAGTGCTGTATAAATATTTGCTATTATTACTCCAAATTGACATAGATCTGCTGATTACTCTTTTGGACCCTAGAATATTCTCTCCTAGTCATCTCCCTTTGCTACCCAATAAAAACTTGTTTCCAAGTCAGCATGATCCACCCAGAATTAGGAAGGGGAACCAATTACAAAAATGAAAAGAACATGTTGAGACTGAACCTGGCCATGAAATATTTTCAGTTATCTGATTAGGGTTTCTGCTGTTTCCTTAGGAGGCAGATTCTGAATTCCTCAGATTCAAAGCCTAGTCTGAATATATTTGTGTGTGTGCCCCAGGCAAGGTTTGGAAATCGTACCACACAAGCCCATATGTTTAGAGCTGGATGGGACTTCAGAGGTCCTTTGATCCAACACTCATATCGAAGATGATGCAACTGACAAAGATCTTTAATGACTCGCCCAAGGTCATGCAGTGACAGGATTGGAACGCTGCTCCTCTCATTCTTGGAGAAGATGTGTTGTGGAAGGAGCAGTGAATTAAAAGCCATATTTGTGCTTTGTAACCCATAGGATCATAGATTTGAAATTGAAAGGGATCTTAGAAGTCATCTCATCCAACCCCTTCATTTAACAAAGCAACCTGAGGACTAGAGAGCTAGGTGACTTTTCCAAGGTCACAAAGGGCTTACTGCCCCCTCTGCCACTAACTTAGTTGGTATGTGTCCTTGTCATTAACCTCTCTGGGTCTCAGTTTTATAAAATGCAGATTTTCTCCCATGGCAATTTTTTTTTACTGATTTGCCAAACTGCTAAAGTTTCTTAATTCTTAAAATGCATATTTTTAAGAATTTCCTTCCTTCATTATTCCAAATTCTAGGTCCCTGTTCTCCTTAGCCAATAGTTGAAGGCAAAGACTAAAACCACCAGGATCATGGAATCAGTTTAGAATTTAGATACTTCACTAGTTCCTGTATAGCTTCACTGGAGAACACTAGACAAGATGGTCTCTGAGGTTATTAGAAACTAGTTTCTGAGGGATTCATGGAAAGGAAGACTAAATGTCAGCCAGCCCTTCAGTACGCTGGAAAGAGGACAAACTTCTGAGTACCAGTACTAGATCTGGAAGGGTCCCTTCTTCATTTGTAGATGAGATTTCTTGCTGAAACCCTGAAGCCCTATTTCTTTCAAATGAGGCTGTCCTCTTGGGAGGAGGATAAGAATCCCTGGCTCTTGCCAGGGAACCCAAGCATCCAAACGGTCTGAAACCTTGCTGGGGGTGTAACACTTTTCTCTAAGTGTTGTGGTTCAGTTGTTTCAGTCATGGCCAACTCTTTGTGACCCCATTTGGGGTTTTCTTGGCAAAGATACTGGAATGGTTTGCCATTTCCTTCTCCAGCTCATTTGAACTGAGGCAAACAAGGTTAAGTAACTTGCTCAGGGTCATATGGCAACTAAGTGTCTGAGGCCAGATTTGAACTCAGGAAGATGAGTCTTCCTGACTCCAGTCCTGGCATTCCATCCACTTCCATCTTCAAGTAATACCTAGAAAGTAGTACCTTTCTCCAAGTACTGAGCAGGAGCCCAGGTTGGTTCTTCTAGATCAAAGTCAGGGGGTGGAGGAGGTGGTAGCATCAGTTCATCAGTCTCCAAGGGTGGGGGCAGGTCTAGGGGTGGGGGCAGATCTGCTGCTGAAAGGAAAGCAGAAGGTGGTGGGAGGGGAGGATCTTCGGCAGAAGACTCATGAAAATGGACCTTGTCTTCTGCCATGTCTTCCACAGGACCTAGAACAAGTCTAAATATGTACTACACGTAATTTAATAAATCCCTGTTACAGAAGTACCTTCACAACGTCCCCCTGGCCCCACCCAGTAGGTCCACTTAGGGATTTTCCCCCACAGCTACCTTTGACGTGGCACATTACAATCTGAAGGAGAAAACCAAAGGCTCCTTTAGAGAAGGTGGATGGGAGAGGAATGGAAGGCCAGAAGGAATGGGGAGGGAGTTTATAGGTGAAGGAGCTGGAGAGAAGAATGAAGGACGTATAGGGTTCTTTACCTGTCTGGGGTGTGAGCAGCTCCTCAGGAAGAGATTTCTCCCGTGCTTCAGCGCTTGGGGACATGGAGCCAGGGAGTGGTGGGGCTTGGGGCATCACTGGCACATTGGCCACAGGGAACCCACAGATTCCTTCAGTGCTACTGAAGTCCAAAGAAGGTCATAGGGACAGATGGGAACCTTGATTCTGGTCCTGATCCCCAACCACCCAATAACCCTGTCCCACACTCCTTAACCATCCAGACTCTACATACCCCAAGGACAGGGGAGGAGGGGAGGAATTGTAGTAGAGATAACTACTTCTGAAGGGCAGCTGTTCTCCCCAGCCACCAATCTTTACCAGTGGATAGAGCTTACCTGGTAGAGGTCAGAGAGGAGGCTGCAGAGACTTTTTCATCAGGAATGACTGGGAGGTGTACAGGTTCGGGGACTCTGGGGACCCGACTGGAGGAGAATGAGGGGAGTGACAAAATGAAGTGATGGAAAGAGGAAGAATAGAAACAAATATTTATTAAATGCTTATTATGGACCAGATATGATGCGAAGCACTTTACAAATCTGATCCTCTCAACAACTCTGGGAGGTAGGTGTTATTATAATCTCCATTTTATAGTTGTGGAAACTGAGAGAGAAAGAGGTTAGGTGAGCTGGTCAGGGTCATCCAGTTTTGATCTCAGGTCCTATGCTCTTTCCCCTGTTTCACCTACCTCAACGCCCCCACCCCCAACCAAGGAAATAAATACTCTGTTACCAGCCTCCTAGGTGAGTGTAGACTAGATAGGGAAGAGAGGAATAGGTTTGGGAGCGATCTGAAAAAAGGAGGCAACAACCAAGCCAGGGACAACTAAGGGTTTTTTGACTATACCAGAACCTCACTCACCCCAGTGTTCCTGAGGTAGGGGCAACTGCAGCCTTGATGCTTTTTCGGGAGAGCGTCCCAGTTCTGGACAGCTGGGTGCTCAGATCCTGGGAGAGGAGAGACAGGCCAAAGTTAAGGGGCTGGCTCCTCCCTCCCCACTGTTCCCCATTCTGTGCTATCCTTTCCTTGACCTCAAAAGGAACCAAAAGAGAGGAACTGGGGTGCCAGGGATGGGAACTGGGTGGGAAAATGATTCTGCCAATTCTCAGTTTCGCTTCCCAGCTACACCTTCTCCCCTCTGCCTCATCTGACAATCTCCAAGCACTCCAGTTGGACCCAGCACACGTCAGAAGCATGAGGTATATAGATTTCACTGCCACCAGAGCCAGAGTGGAGACAGACACACTGTCTGCCAGCCACTTCCTCTCCTCAGCCACAACATCCCCTTATTTTCTCTCTTGGTCTTCTGGAGAAGACACTTCTCCCAAAGTCTTTGCCCCCTTAATATTCCAACAACCTCCTTTCCTCTTACTTCCATCCAGATTTCTTCTTTCCTCCATATAAGAGTCTTAACAGTAGGGCCTGAGAAGGGAAGATCCTATTTTGGACTAGACCTCTGACTGCAACAGAGGGGCCCAGAACTCTCAGGGAAGGGGGTGGGGGGGCTTCACTGAGCAGTGATCAAGCAATAGGTTTGGAAGGTCAGGCCAGTTTCTGGAAAGCATCAGGGGAAAAGTAGCCAGGTCTGGGAAGATATTTGTGTTTGGGACTTCAATTGATCATGCAAAGAGCATAATTCATGGTAATATGCAAATGAGCACCTACTGGTGTTTTTTGTTTTGTTTTGTTAGAGAACTGTTGAAAATGTCCTTGTATAAGGAACATGGTCCCTTTAAAGTCCTATTCATCAGGAGTTGTTAATGATGAAAAGGGTAGAAAAAGATGAGTGTATTGTGTGTATGTGTGTGTGTGTAAGGGAGAAGATTTATATTTTATATTAAGGCTATAAGGGACAGTTAATGAGAAGGGCTGAAAAAGTTGTATGTGTGTGTGTAAGGGAGATTTATATTAAGGCTATTTTTATAAGGGGTAGTTAATGATGACAAGGGCAGGAATTGGGGTGTGTGTGTGTATGTGTGTAAGGGAGAAGATTTATATTAAGGCTATTTTTATAAGGGGTAGTTACTGATGACAAGGGCAGGAATTGGGGTGTGTGTGTGTATGTGTGTAAGGGAGAAGATTTATATTAAGGCTATTTTTATAAGGGGTAGTTAATGATGACAAGGGCAGGAATTGGGGTGTGTGTGTGTATGTGTGTAAGGGAGAAGATTTATATTAAGGCTATTTTTATAAGGGACAGTTAATGATGAGCAGGGCAGAGAAAGTTGTGTGTGTATGTGTGTGTGTGTGTGTACAAAGGATATTTATATTAAGGTGATTTTTATAAGGGGTAGTTGATGATGACAAGGGCAGAAAAAGTGTGTGTTTGTGTGTGTGTGTGTGTGTGTTGTGTAAGGGAGGAAATTTATATTAAGGCTATTTTTATAAGGCAGTTAATGATGAGAAGGGCAGAGAAAGTTGTGTGTGTGTGTGTGTGTGTGTGTGTGTGTGTGTATACAAGGGAGGAGATTTATATTAAGGTGATTTTTATAAGGGGTAGTTGATGATGACAAAGGCAGAAAAAGTATGTGTGTGTGTGTATGTGTAAGGGAGGAAATATATATTAAGGCTATTTTTATAAGGGGTAGTTAATGATGACAAGGGCAGAAAAAAGGGAGAGTGTAATCTTCCATGTGGAAGGTGGTTATTGCCATTTCCACTCACAGCAAGAGGAAATGGATTTTTAATCTGCATGCAGCAAGAGGGGATTGAGGATAGATGACATTTGGATGACTGAGAGTGTGGAATTTCCTTTGGAATGAGATCAAGGGATTGTCTAAAATGGCCATATTAACAGCATAAGAAATAAAGATTTGAAGAACCCAGTCTCTCAGAGTGAGGACGTGGGGCCAGGGGCGGATCAGGAGGGATTCTTAGGGGGATTTTGCCCCTCCTCCCCAGTCTCTCAGAGTTCCCTGAGAGCGGCTGTCAGCAGTTGCAGCCCAGCCCCCTTCTTTCTCTCTGCTCTGACAGCCCTAAAGGCGTGCTGAGAAAGCACGAAGACCTCAAACGCTGCAGAGGAAGTTTCTATTCTCATGCAGTGGTGGGGCTGTTCTCATGCACACTCAGGCCTCAGCACCCACTGCTTTTCCTCAGCACCCCACTGTAAGAGAGGAAGCTCAGCACTTAAATTCACATTCAGCAAAAAAAAAAATAAAAAAATAAAATTTTAAATGTAAATTTGTTTGGGGTGTGGAACGTGAGGGTATTAAGGGGCAATTGGGAGAGGCCTGACAACGAGAGGCAGAAGAAGAAGTAGAGTGATTTGCTGAAAAGGGAGATTAGGGAGTACAAGGGGAATGAGGTTAGTTTTGTACCTTCCTCAGGAACAGAAACAGTAACCTGCCTGTCTTAGGGTTTAAAGCATGTTGAGATGAAGGCCTTGGGAGGGAGAAAGCCCCCAGGGCATGGCTAAGATTGGGGGAACCTCTGGTTCTACCTTGACCCCATGCCCAACGTCATCCAGGCAGGTAAAGTTGAGAGGTTTCCTATAGTAGGGCTCCATCACAGGCAGGTTCTCAGGGGGGATGATCTTCTGGCTGGTTGGCAGCCGCTGGAACACAGCCAATGCTCCAATCTCCCTTCGGCCAACCTTCTCTATGTGCATGTTCACCATCTGTGGAGATTAGGGGGTGGGGGTTGAAGAGGTCGGAGGAAGGATAGGTACCTATTGTGGGCATTGATCCACGATCCTGCCTGACTTAGAACCCTTTAAGGACCCTTTCAAACTAGTGGGGGGAGGGGAGGAAAGTAGGACTATACCTCATGGAGATGAGGGCCAGAGAGGGTGAGCTGTGTTTCCAAGGTCACACAGTAATTACAGTTGGAAGTGGGGTGTGTGTGTGTGTTGTGTGTGTGTGTGTTGTGTGTGTGCGTGCGTGCGCGCGCGCGCGCTGCGCGTGTGCGTGCAGGGGAGGATGGAGCCACTTTCAGTAACTTCCTGTGGAGAAGGAATGGCAATTATTATTAGATAGACAGGAACAGGAGGAAGGGAGAAAACATGGAATCCCCCGGGGGTGGGGTGGGGAGATGTTGGGAGGGAGCTAGATTAGCTCAGAACTGTATCATTCCAAGAAAGGGGTGGGGTGGGAGAGGATTTGGGGCCTGAAGGACTGGATGGGAAGGGTGGATGGATCAGCTCTGTTCCCTCCATGGAATTCTCACTGGAGACACGGAGCCTGGAGAAGAGGAATTGTTTCTGGGGCCAGAGGAAAGGACACACCTCGTCAGCTGGTGGGAGGGGATTGGGGGATGGGGGGGAATTCATGTGTCATAGGCCAGAAGTATATGTGCAGCTTGTGTATGCAGGAAGGAAAGAGGACAGTGTCAGGGTGAGGGGAAGTGAGGAACATGTCCACGCAGAGGACTGCCTCCAGCCTGAATGCGCCCCAAATGCTAATCTTTTGCTCTAGGGTGCTATCTCCAGTCCACTGACCATCCTCTGCTAGATATCAGGTTCTCTATCCATCTCCTAATACAGTGGAAAGAATGCTGGATGGTAGAGTCAGAGGACCTCGTTTGAATCCAGTCTCTGTCACTTATGATCTATGTGACCTTGGACATGTCACATAACCCCTGTGGGCCTCAGGTTCCTCCTCCTTCAAATGAAGTGGTGAGACTAGATGAGCTCTAAAGACCCTTTTATCTCTAAATCCAAGCTTCTTGAGACCACAAGAATGTCTGCAGACAAAACCAGGGACAAGCACTGGGAAAGATTCAGATTCCTCGCCCTCCAGAAAACCAGTACAAAGACGAAGACACTGTGTGTGGAAGCTCAAAATAATTTGAAAGGGCAATGTCCACAGTGGAATTAGGGATCTGATGGGCTATTATGGATGAAGAATGGCCTCCTGGGAGGAAGGATCCAAGACAAGGGTTCTTGACCACTTTTGTATCACAGACCCTTTGGCAGTTCATGAAGCCCACTTCTGAAAACAGTGTCCTTAAATGCGTGTAAAATAAAGCACATAGAATTACAAAGGAAACCAATTCCATTGAAATACAGCTGTCAAAATATCTTTAAAAAAACCAAGATTTTTTGTTTTGTTTTTTTGGTGAGGCATTTAGGGTTAAGTGACTTGCCCAGAGTCACACAGCTAGTGAATGTTATATGTCTGAGGCCTGATTTGAACTCAGGTCCTCCTGATTCCAGGGCCGGTGCTCTATCCACTGTGCCACCTAGCTGCCCCCTAGACCTAAGGTTAAGGATCCATGGCCAGGTTCAGGGTAGAAGAAGGAAGAACAGGGTTCAGATTGGGTCTGTTGGGTTGGGCCAAGGACAGTTTCTCCTCGCTCTCCCCCTACTCCTTACCTGGTCCAGTGTGCTCACATTGGCCTCCACCTGCCTCAGCCCAGTGTCCTGGAGATCCAACATCCTCAGCAGATGGCCAGCCAGGTTGCTGATCTGGTAGGCCACACTGGCCAAGGCCTGAGTAGTAAAGGCCATGGTTTCCTCCAGGGCTTTCCTCTTTTCTGTGGCCTGGAAGACATGCAGTTCTACCTTCAGCACAGCCCTTTGCCCAGACCTCACATGCATCATTGCTCATCAGGGCTGAAAAGGCCCTCATACAAATCTCTCTTCTTATACATGAGCAAACTAAAGCCCTGTGAAGAGGAAATGATTTGCCTAAGTTTCACAGACAATAAGGACTTCACCCAAGTCTCATAATTGCAAATCAAAGACCCTTCCCACTATACCACAACTATCATTCTGAGAGTAGAAGGTAAAAATAGGAGAAAAAGATCACCCCAGAGGTTAAGTGCACCAAGAATGATGCTTCAGCATGAATGATGAACAAGGAAAGGCCCACACCACCCTCAAAAACGCAGAGCTTTCACTAGGATGCTGGAATGTAGATGGCATTGCCAGAAATTTGATTTTTTTTTAGTTGGTAGAGACAATTGAGCTTATTAGAGGGATTCTAAGCCTTTTTTTGTGTCCTGAACTCCTTCGGCAGTTTGGAAACTGAGGCCCACAGGGGTTATATGACGTGTCCAAGGTCACACAGATCATAAGTGGCAGAGACTGGATTCAAACGAGGTCCTCTGACTCCACTATCCAGGGACCCCTTCTCAGAATCATGTTTTTAAATAATTGAAAGAAATGCTGAATTTCAGCTAGAGGTCAGTGAGAACAAAGATGTGATTTTTCTCCCCAATCCAAATTCGTGAATCCCCTTAAGAGTCTGAGGATCCCAGGTTAAGAACCCCTGACTACCAGGAAGAGTTAGCCGCTACGTGTCATGTAAGCTGTTTCATGGCTGCCTCTATCCCCCTCCCCACAGTGGTTGTACGGTATCCTGGGGTTTCTATTTCTTCTGTCCCCTAGGCTTTACGTTCCAAAGTCTCTGTCTCTCTCCCTCCCTCTCTCTCTCTCTCTCTCTCTCTCTCTCTCTCTCTCTCTCTCTCTCTGTCTCTCTCCTTCCTAGGCACAAGAATGACTGGTGATGGCTCTGTCCATCTGGTGGAGTAGTTTTCTTTTCCCAGACAGCAGGGTTGAAACAGGAGATCCACCTAGCTTCTTTTTCATCTTTAGGCACCCATGGAGACCACTTGTCCTCCCTGGCTATTGGTGGATGGACTGATAGGGAAAAAGGAGAGAGACAAGAGGGCAGGAGGACAGGACAGAGGAGTTTTCCCATTCATTCATCCATCTGTCAAAGATTTATCAAGGGTCTACTATGTGTAAAGTCAATAATGATAGTAAACATTTATTAAATGCCTACTATGTGCCAGGCACTGTGCTAGGCACTGAGGAGATATAAACCTAGGTAAGAGACACCATCCCTGCCATATAGGAACTTGCAATTTAGCTGGGGAGATAAGACATGTATATGAACAACTATAATACAGGTTAGAATATGATCCGTGCATGAGAGTGGTTGAAACAGAGATTTAAGGAAGGAGAGAATAATTAGTTGCTATGCAGACAAGCACAGAAGTGGGAGATTAATTATATTAATTATAGCTAGAGTGCTGAAATTGGAGTCAGGAAAAGCTGAATTCTTATCGGGCTTCTGAAACTTATTTACTATGTGATCCTAGGCAAGTCACTTCATCTTTTTTTTTTAGCCTCAGTTTCCTCATCTGTAAAATGGGAATAATAATAGGACCTACTTTCTGTTGTTATTGTGAGGATAAAATGAGATTGTATATGTAAAGAATTCTGTAAACACTATATCAGTGCTAGTTATTATTATTCATAATTATTGTTGGTAATAAACATGTATTAAACATTCTGTGTACAGAGCACTGTGTTGGGCACTAAGGGAATATATAGAAATTTTAATTTCAGCCCTGATACTGAATACCTTGGGGAACTCACTAAACTTTTCTGGGTCTTAGTTTCCTTTGGAAAATACAGGGTTTGGGGGTGGTTAGGTGGTGCAGTGGATAAAGCACCAGCTCTGGAGTCAGGAAGACTTGAGTTCAAATCTGGCTTCAGACACTTAACACTTACTAGCTGTGTGACCCTGGGCAAGTCACTCAACCCCAATTGCTTCCAAGAAAAAAAGAAAACATAGGGTTTAGAGGAGAGGATCTACGAACAAGAGTGTGCCGGTAAATTCAAGGGGAAAAAATGTATCCAAGATACACTTTTAAGTTGAAACTGCATTATTGCCATTTTCTCCATAATTTTATCAAGTCTAAACAATCCACAAAACATGAATCAAGCACCAATTTGTGGCATGATTTCTGAGGTAAATGCTCTCAGGAGCTCAAGCTGACTCCAGCTTGAATTTACAGACAGTCTTCAAGGTTACTCTAACCCTTATCAGGAAACAGCTATTTGGGCCCAGTCCTGGAAGGGTAAAGTCTAGATCCCATCCCTGAACCCTGACCCTGGCTTTGGCTGATGAAGAAGAGGCCCCTTGAGTCAAGCGGGGAAAGAGGATGGGGCTGGGGGATCATGAGGACCCTACAATGGAGTTTAAGATTCTTCCCCCCCCAAAAGTCTCATACCAGTTACTCCAGATCAGGAAACTCAGTCAATCCTAAGAAATGAGCTACAGAACTGTGGTTAACCCCAGCATCTCCTCCTTGCTACACTTGTGGTTTTCCTGACACCTGGTCAGAATGGGGAGAAATGTGAAGTGGGGATGGGTAGACCAGGGGCTTTTTAAATAACAGCATTGACCAGCCACCCATCTTCCCCCAACTTGATGAAGCAGCCTGTAAGTTTCCAGACAAAGCAAGGAAGGCAGCTAGTTATGACCTGGAAAGTCTAATTAGTTCACTGAATTGCAGAGACCAGAGCCCCCCGAGTCTCTAAGAACCTCAGCTTTGGCCTTAGATACTTTCGCCGACTGAATGAGTTGCTTCCTTCCCCTTGACTTCAGTTTCTTAATCTGAAACATGCCTCCTCCTTCCTTCTCTCCCTTCCAGTAAGGCAAAAAAGAGCCTCTCTGAAAATGCTTTGAGATCTCTAGAAGGAAGGACTTCAGAAGCAGGAGGGACTGTTATTCTCATGGGATACAGATGAGAAAGTTGAAGATAAGAGGCGGGCCACCCAAATAGCAGACACAAGATTTGAACCTAAGGTTTCCTTACTCCAAAGCCAAAGCTTTCTTCTCAATTTGTTGAACTGAATGGAGTTACCTCACATTACAGTAAGAGTGAGACTGTTCATCAGTGGCCCAAGAGCAGGTGCTATTTTGCATACTGTTTGGTATCTCACTTGTATGATACAATGCCAATATGAATAGAAATTCCATCATTCTGCCCCTCCCATATGCATATACACATACACAGAGCCCTTGTTCTTCTCCCCCAGTGTCTTTCCACTGGTTCTCCCTAAACAACACCTTACCCCGCTACTGCACCCTCACCAAAGTGGCAAGCTTCTTTTGGCTTATAGTTCTGAGAGGAGCTGGGGAAAGAGATCAAGAGAAGACAGATAGCTCCAGTCAAGTCTCTTATAGTAGCACCCAGATGCTTGGATAACTACAGAATCCAGAGAATTGTAAAAATCCCAGAATCTTTTCTCTTAGTTGGCAGGTCCCTTCCAGAGATCGTTTTGCAACTTCTTCCCTCTAAGTCCCACACTAACACGGTCTAACCAGCCTTCTGTTCTTTGCCTTAAGTTTTCCTAGGACTGACAACTCACCATTAGCTTTCTTCCACTCATTGCCCCAGACACTTCCTATGCCTATCAGGAAGAGTTTTGTTTGTTTTTTCCTGAGGCCTCCTCTTCTCTTGGTGAGTGGGTGGGTGGGAGTCAGGAGGTGAGAGAAAGTGTGAGATGGTGAGGACATAGTTTAAGGTGGTGTCCCCTCTCAATGGAAGAGCTCAGGATTAAACACACTTAGTTGGGCCCTGTGGCTATGGGGGCCAAGGGCTGTGCAAAAAAAGTAGCAATTGGGGAAGGGGAGGGGGTCTTGCAAGGAAATGGAGAATTTTTTTATATGGGGGTAATGATTTTGGCTGAGCCTCCCCTACCCTGGGTTCCACAGAAAGCAGGTTCAAATGGCCCAGGCCCTGAGGCTGATGGGAGTTGGTGTTCAGTGTTAGAGACAGGAGTCAGGATTATGGCAAGGGACTCAGTATCGGGGATGGAAGATCTCAGAGCTAGGGATGAGGAGGATCAGTGTTAAGAATGGGGATTTGGCTAGGGATGGCATCCAAGTACTAGGGAGCCAGCGCAATCAAAGGGAGGGAGGTTGGAAGGAGCAGAGTCAGGCACTACCTACCTGAATATAGTTGCTTTCACAGTAGTCAGCAACTCTGAGGAGGCTGCTGTGGTTACTTCGGAGGGCCTCCCGGCCCATAGGGATCTCAAACTCCAGGAGCTGTTGCAGTTCAGCCATGGCCCTCCTTTGTGGCTACCCTGCTCTCACTAAGCAGCCACCCAGAGCCACCGACTGGTTTTGTGCCTTCCCTGGGCTCTGATTGGCTGCTCTACCTGCCCTCCCTCTTGCTGGCTTTCTCTGGGGCCAGAGAAGCAAAACCTGGCCAGGGGAGGGAAGTGAGGCTCATTCCCACACAATAGGAAGCCGATATTTGCTCTCCTGGCCTTCTCTTGACTCCACTCAGCCCTTGGCCAGAGGGGAAGGGTGAGGCAGGGACTTAATTGGGGGTCACTCCTCCTCCCTCCCCTAAACTTTCCCCCCTCGGAGGAAACCAAAGCTGAATCTGCTCTCAGGCCCCAGAGAGGAAGCCAGGGTGTGGGGGGCGGGGAGGAGGGGGAGAGGGAGGAGAGGGCTTGGAGGCTGAGGAGGAAGGAGGCTGGTCCTACTGCTGGGGGAGGGTGTGTGTGTGTGTGTGTGTGTGTGTGTGTGTGTGTGTGTGTGTGTGTGTGTGTGTGCCACTTAAGGGGGTGGAGAGATGGGAAGAGGGCAGAGGGTGGGGGCTTCCTTGGGAAGCTCAGAGATGAGTCACTGGGGGCTGGTGAGCTGGCAGGACAGGACCTGGAGATAACGATATAGTAGTATAGATATAGTAGTATAGTAGCGGGCATTTACTTAGTACTTTAAAGTTTGCAAAGGATTTTACATGTGTTATCTCATTTGACCTTCACAACAGCTCTGTGAATTAAGCGCTATTAATATCCCTATTTTGTAGATGAGGAAACTGCTTGAGAGAGTTTAACTTGACTTGACCAATGTCAAATAGCTAGTAAGTGTCTGAGGCAGGATTTGAACTCAGATCTCCCCAGCTCCAGGTCCAGCACTCCAACCACCACATTATCATCTAGCCATCCCTAGAATAGGAGCTAGCAGCCTGTAGGGTGTGGGGGCCTAATGATACTGTTTTTTAATCCCTTCGGAGGCCAAACAGATGGAAAGGGGCTCATGTTGTAGCCAAGGTATCAAAATTAAAGGTCAGGAATAACTTCCCAGAAATTGTCTAAGAGTTATCATGAAGTTGCTCGAGCGTTATTATTATGGAGGGTGAAGATCCACTCTTCTTTGTGCCCAATAAAGGATCGTAGGAGCATAGATTTCCAGCTGGAAGAAATCTTAGTAGTTCTGTTCAACTCCCTCATTTTACAGATAAAGAAACTGAGGCACTGATAATTTAAGTAACATGTCCAAATTTATACATCCAGTAAGCATCTGGGGCAGGATTTGAACCCAGGTGTGCCTGACTTTGGGTCCATTGCTCTCTGCTATGCCAAGAGAAAACATGCCCACAATGCACACAGGTTACAAATTCTAATTCTAGTGGAAACTTGCCATTTCAAGGAGGCAGTGTGGTAAAGAGGAAGGAGCCCTGGGCTGGATGTTAAGAGCTCTAGGCTCTGCCTAATATTAAGCCGGGGCTGGACACTGGAGACCTGGAGTCAGGAAAACTCAGCTTTGTGAGTTCAGATCTGGCCTCAGACACTTCCTAGCTGTATGACCCTGGGCATGTTACTTAACCTTGTTTGCCTCAGTTTCCCCTTCTGTAAAATGAACTGGAGAAGGAAATGGCAAACCACTCCAGTATCTTTGCCAAGAAAATCCCAACTGGGGTCACAAAGAGTTAGCCACAAGAGAAAAAAATGACTGAACTCACTTTGGGTAAGTCTTCCTCTCTCTAGGCTTTAATTTCCTCATTGGTAAAACAAAACGGTTGGACTAGAGCGCCTTTAAGGTCCCTTCCAACCTTAACATTCTATGTATGTGGATGGACAGTAGATCCTAAAACCCTAAGGAAGCCATGTTCCACACAGCTGCCGAAATGATCTTCCTAAGGCATAGACATTACAATGTTGCCAGATCAAAACTCAGCAGTCTCCTCCTTGCTTCCAGGATGAAAAGAAAGCTCCTTCCCCTGACATTTAAGGTTTTCTAAAGTCTTCCTTTCAAACTGCTCCTTTCATTTTCTCTATGTTCCAGTCAAAATGAATGACTTTAGCTGTTTCTGAAACCTGACATTACATCTCCCACTTCCATGAATTTGTCCAGGCATATCTCCATGCCTAGAATGAATGCATTTTCTCATCTCCTCCTTTCCAAATTCTTCTCTTATTTCAAGACTCAACTAGATGCATCCTTCCAGGAAGCCTCAGATCCTCCCCAGATCCTCCCCTGCTCAAAATCTTCTTTCCTCAAATTGTTCGAGATTACATTGTCGGGATCTTTCCTTGGTCCACCTAAGGTCCTACATTGTGTTTCAGTCACGTACATGTAGCTCCTCTGCTCTGCCCATCCCCCCTGTAGCATGTAAGCTCCTTGAAGGCAGGATATTATTATCATCAGCACCATGCTAAGTACTGAATTTGGATTTGACATACTGCCAAAAGCAGGACAGAACACATGCTTCCTCACCACTTCCATTCCTCCTTAACTCCAAAGTGAATCGAGGTTGGTTTTGTTACCCAGATAAAAGGCAAAGGGATGGACAAGATGACCCCTCAAGTGCCCTCGAACATTTCTAAGCTTCCTTCCTCTACTTTTTGAGTCTAACTCTGGATGAAATGTACCTGAAGGCAGAGATCTCTGAGAACTCTTGGGAGTAGACCCAAAGGAAAATAAAATTATGGCCCCTGACCCCAGATTTATGAGCGTATACCCAGATTAGAAAAAGAGGCAGAAAGAAATAGACTAGGGAAACAAAGAAATGAAATGCAAACTGGAGGAAAGAGCTAAAAGGACCCCAAAGAGGAGTGTTTATAATTAGGTGGGATTAAGCATGGAAGAGTTCAAGGAGGAAGAGAATGTATCAAATGGAGACTGATCAGATGAGATAATCTATGTGGAGTGTATAGCTGTATAAATGCTAACTGATGGTGTTTTTTTTTTTTTTGTGAGGCAGTTGGGGTTAATTGACTTGCCCAGGGTCACATAGCTAGTAAGTGTCAAGAATCCAGTGTGAGGTCACATTTGAACTCAGGTCCTCCTGACTCCAGGGCTGGTGCTCTATGCACTGAGCCACCTAGCTGCCCCTTATTAGTTATTATTTAAAGCAGGACAGGAGTAGGGGGAAGGGGAATGGTTTTCTCTCTCTTTCTTCCCTTTTGACCTGAGTTAAGGCAAAAGTTTGTTTGAAGGTTCAAGGTTGGGAAGGGTAAGGTGTTAGAAGGATATTAATGCAGGTTGCCTGGATGGGCAGAAAATTCAAGTGAGCCGAAGAGAGGAGGTAAAATTTCAAAAGAACAAGATGAGAGGAAAAATTGGGGAATGTGAACTGGAATGGGAATTAATACAACCTGAACTCTGGAGAAACCATCTTGGTAGTAGGGAGCAGCTAGGTGCTGCCATAGATAGAGCGTTGGGCCTGGAATCAGGAATTTTGTTGTTCACTTGTTTTGGTGGTGTCTGACTCTTCATGACCCTATTTGGGGTTTTCTTGGCAAAGATATTGAGGTGGTTTGCCATTTCCTTCTCCAGCTCATTTTACAGATGAGAAAAGCAAGGCAAGCAGAGTTAAAAGACTTGTCCAGGGCTGCACAGCTAGTAAGTGTCTGAGGACACATTTGAACTCAGGTTTTCCTGACTCTTGGCTAGACTCTCTATCCACTGCACCACATAACTGCCCTGGAGTCAGGAATACCTGAGCTCGAATTCAGCATCACATACTTATTAGCTGTGTGACCCTGGACAAATCACTTAATCTCTTTTTGCCTTAATCCACTGGAGAAGGAAATGGCAAACCACTCCAGTCTCTTTGCCAAGAAAACCCCAAATGGGGTTATGAAGAGTTGGACCCGACTGAAGAAGAACAAAGTGATGGGTAGGGCTGGGAGGCAGGAAGATCACTTAGGTTGTTTCTAAAGTCACTTAGATATCTCAAGTCACAGAATCTTCCATTTGGGACGTTAGGGACTAAAGTCCAACCTACATCTGACCAAGAATGCCCCTTACAATAGCCCCTAAAGTGGTTATTAAAACTTCCTCCTGAAGACCCTGGTCATAGGGAATCTACTATCCCTTAAAGCATCATATTCCACTTTGGGATGACTGTAAGTACTAGGATTTTTTCTTATACGGAAGCCCAAATTGGCCTTTTTGAAACTTCTACCCTTTGCTCCTTGTTTTTTGATTTGGGGCCAAGCAGATCAAGTCTGATCCCCCCCCCCCCACCAAATACTCAAAGACCCTAATCATGTGTTAGCAGTCTTTTCTTCTATAGGCTAAGCATCCTCAGCGCCTCCTTTTGAGATGATCAATGTGCTGGTTTGGGGACAGGTGTCAATTCCTTTCTGTTCCCAGTGGAGGCTCAGATCTCTTAATAGGCTTACTACTTCAAGTCTGTTAATCAGCTTAAGGATCAGAGATTTTGGCATTAAGACCATCTGCTGCTTCAATAGAGAAATCTTCAGTTGGAAAGAAGAGGATCAGGCAATATCGTGTCTAGGACGGAGACAGGTGCCTCTCTGAAGATTTCCAGACAGCACCCCACCATCACCACTACACACAGGCACCTACACAGGTGAGAACTAGGGTGGACTGTCTTGGGGGCTAGATTTGAGTAGCAGGAGTTAGGCTATAAATTCCCAGGAGTTTCTCTAAAAATCATTTTCAAGGGTTTGTGGATCAAGAAGCAAACCTATTGGTGTTAATTAGCCCATGCTTGCCACCTACATTTTTCAGGAATGGGGGGCGGAGGGAAAGCCTCAGACCAAAACTGGCCTTTTCTCCTCTTTCTCCATCTCTTTTCCATGTGTGACTCTACTATCAAATAGGATCTCCCCAAGTGGGAGGATCTCCTTCATCAGGCTGGAAGCTCCTTGCATACAGAGAGTAGGGTCTGCTTTTGCTTCATCCTGAATAAAAGGATTTAGCAATCATAGGAGAGGGAGTCTAATGATTTCATTTGACAGTGACTGGGGATGTAGAAACTGTTTGGTGGGATAGAGGCATTTATAATATGGAATGATGTATCATTATAGAGCCCCTGTTTCTTTGGAGCAACATGGCTCAGGATCTCACTGAGAAGGAGCTGTTAAAAATGCAGATTGATCAACTTAAGAAGGAAGTGAAGAATGAAAGAGCCATGGTGAGTGTCTGCCTCCTTCCCTTGTTTTCTCTATCTGCTCCTCTTCATAATAGGAGAGGGATGCACAGGAACAGGTGATGGGATGAGTTGTTGGTAGGGGGAAAGGGTAGGGAGGTGGTGGAAACTCCTTTCTAAGGAGCTGGAATCAGGGGAGTGATCGAGAAAGCTGGGACTGCAAAAATGGGGATGGATAAGATAAACCTGCCAAGGTTCCCTGAATAACAAAAAAGAGATCCTTGGGTTCAATGTGGCCTGGAGATATGACTGTCCCTCCCCCTGCTTTCAAGTTGTTAGCCCACACAGAGATAAAATCGTTTGGGGAATTTGGGGGCAGATAGGTGTTGCAATAGATAGAACACCATCCCTGAAATCAAGAGGACCTGAGTTTAAATGTGACTTCAGACCTTACTAGCTGTGTGACCCTGGGCAAGTGACTTAACCCTGTTTGCCTCAGTTTCCTCCTCTGTGAAATGAGCTGGAGAAGGAAATGGCAAACCATTATAGTATCTTTGCCAAGAAAACCGCAAATGGGGTCACCGAGAATGACATGACTAATCGAAACAAGATAAAGTCAACCCACATAAATAAGACAAAATCTTTGTGATGAAAGCCATCCAGATCCTCTCTCAGCTGCTGACTGAATTCTTTCAGATGTCTGACCACCATCCTTCATGCATTTGGGAAAGTCCCTGCTTTATGGGGTGTTACAATGTTAGGCCCTTGGACTGACAGTTGGTGACGTACCATTTACCCCTCCCAGCCAAGGATCTCAAAGCAAGGAGACTTTTTTTCCTTCACAGATTTCCAAAACGGGGAAGGAACTTAAGGACTATGTGGAAGCCAACGCTGGAGATGACCCCCTCCTTAAAGGCATCCCTGAGGACAAAAATCCCTTTAGGGAGAAAGGTGGTTGTATGATAAGCTGACCACCCCCCTTCCCCATCCTGAACCTCACCCCAAGGTCCCCTAGCCGATCACCTACAGACCCAAACCCCGGCAACCAAATACCATTCTACTAGAGACCCTGACAATTCTGTCCACCCTCTTCCAAGGTCACACCCATTCTTTCCTAGTTAACTAATTGGGTGTTAAAGCGTTGTTGTACTGGGCCATCTAGGAAAACACTACCAGATCAATCCAAAAGATTATCTGGGGGGCAATAAAACCTTAGAAATGTATGGATTAAAAATAATTTATTAAGTGCTAACCATGTGCTAAGCACTGGAGATACAAGGAAAAAATGAAACATTCTCTGCTTTCAGGAAGCACACACTTTAACTGGGAGATGGAAAGGTCCAGAAGTGCTAAGAGTACATCATCATATCATATGGCAACTCCCATGGGCCTGCAGGGAGTAAAGGTAGGGCAGATGGAGAAATCTCTAGTTCCTCTGTGTTACTGGAAGATAAGGAAGATGTCTGATATGAATCAAGGAAAGTCTAGAGTGGGGGATCCACTCTTAAAAGGTGGAAAAGGGTGGAGATGGAACAAAGTTAATGTCTAGACAGGAAGGGAAAAAGGGAAGGGGACATTGGCAAGAAGGTTGGAGAAGGGCATCCCAAAGCATCTGTTCCACTAGGTTCTTCATTACCAGGTTGTTCTAGGTGATGTGGGGCAGGGAAAGGGGGAGGAAAGCCCACCCTCTCCATCCTAATGGTGGATAATCCTCTTTTTTCTGTGTCTCTTGCTCCTGATCCAATATGGCATAATAGAAAAAGCCCAGAATAATATGGAGTCTGGAAACCTGGGTTCAAACCCAGACTCTGACACTGTGTGAGTGTCAGGGCTCAGGCAAGCCCCTTAACCTTTCTGAGCCCCTCTCTCCTAATCTGTGGGATGAGGATAATAACAACACCCAATTTAATGCAGTGTCTTGAGACAAATCATAAAGCACCAGAGAAGTGTGAGCTGTTAATGATTTGTTGAGAAGTCTGATAGATTTGGGGCAAGGAGACTGTTGGGCTGGCTTCTTTGGCCTTGTTTCCTCCTCTGTAAGAGGAAGGGCTTGTTATAGATGCTATAAATTTGATTCCTTTTAGTTATAAATCCTATGATCTCTCTCCACCAAACACAGAATTCCCTCAGTTCCAGACATAATCTCTAAATAAACCCAATACACTAAAACCATAGACTTGTAAGATGTCAGAGTTAGAAGTCAGCCCCCTTTCTAAAGGCTGGAGTTCTTAACCTTTTAGTATCATAGACCCCTCTGCAGTCTGGCAAAGCTTTCTCAGAATACTTATAAATAACGGAAGAAAACGCTAAGTCGAACTTAGAGGTTAGTGAAAATAAAGATGAGATATATATATATATATATATATATATATATGTATATATATATACATATATATATGTATATATATATATACACACGTATATATATATGTATTTTTTATTTTTATTTTTATTTTTATTTTTATTTTTCCCCTTTAAGTTCGTGGATCCCTTGAAATCCATCCAAAGTTTTCAGGTTAACCCTGGTGTAAGGTCACGTAGCAAGTTAATTGTGGAGGGTGGGGGAGGGGGGGTAAAGGGAGGGCAAGGGAAGGGGTATCTTTAGTAGAGCTTCTCTCAGTAATGCTTGGAGCTTAGGACTCCTTGGGTCCACCTCAGAGGATGACCACTACTGGCTCAGTCCTGATGTCAGAGGTAATCCTCAAAGCAAGGACAGGCTGGATCGTTAAAACCCACAGTTAACCCATATCAGAGAGGAGATGCTGTTGAATGATAAAATGATCTCAAGGCAGGCAAGAAGGAAAGGGAAGATAGAAAAGAAGCCAAGGTGCATAGACAGTCCACCAAGACACTGGATCATCTCTTACTGCTTGTTGAGTAAATCAAATTCCATTCTCAGGCTCTGGATCAACTGGTCTCTTCTGGTGACTCAAAGAATGTTTGGATGGCAGCCCAGGATGTACAGGGTTGGGGAGAGGAGGGAGGACAGAGAAAGAAGATTGAACCAGGGAATGCTTTGAAATTCAGTTTCTTAGACTAGTCATACTGGGTAATCCTAAGGAGATCAGCCCTGCTCCCTCCCATCCTGACTCCTTCATCTCTAGCTCATGACATATTGGTAGATTGGGTAAGGGGATGGGGGCTGGGTCGCATGGGGGGTGGGAAGCTAATTCCTAGGCCTTCTGGTATCTGAGGAGAAGTTAGTTTCTCCCTGATCCTTAAATCTGTGGGGAAACTTAGCCAGAGTATTCTCCCCAGTAGAGACAGAGGATAGAAGAGATACCCTTCATACCCTCACCTAGTCCCTGCCCCCAAGCATCTCCCAATCTGAAAAGGGAAGGCACAGGACATGAACCCAGCACTAGAATTTATGGTAGAGAACGAGGTTCTTTCTTGCCCTTGCCTGTTATTGAGGACATGGGATAGGGGAGGAGAAGGACGGGAAGGGAAGATCACGTCAGAATAGAATTCCCTCCCATGTCAAGCACTAATCCGAGAGACTTGCACGTCTAGTTCAAACCCATTAATATAGATAGGGTCATTAGTGTTGAGTGGGGCAAAAAGCAAAGAAGAGATATGGGAACAGGGAGTCAATTCCTCTCTCTGGTCCTCAATTTCCTTTATGAGAGAATTGAACTAGATAATTTCGAAGGTATTTTTCAATTCTGTCCTTCTGTGGTTCTCAAAATAAGGGCATCTGGGATCCCATCTGGAAAGCCAGGGTTGGCAAAGAGGCATCTTCTACAACTGAGGAATCTCCATGGTCAGCCGTGGGCGAGAGCGCTCTGCCCTCTGCTGGTCACTCTTTGTGCCTGAGCGTAGTTGTCCTAAGCCCTTTCTGAAACTAACAGCAGATCAGCAATATTTTTGTTCCCCTCCTCTCAGTGTTCTTTCCAGGCCTCCTCCACAGAAATATACATATACAGGGGCAGCTAGGTGGTGCAGTGGATAGAGTGGTGGCCCTGCAATCAGGAGGACCTGAGTTCAAATCCAGCCTCAGACATATAACACTTACTAGCTGTGTGACCCTAGGCAAGTCACTTAACCCTAATCGCCTCCTCGAAAAAGAAAAAAGAAATATGTACATATATAATATTGGAAGGATTGGTGATTTCAGTGGGGTCAGTGTGAATACTTGCTTCACTGACACAAATCACAACCTCTCTATTGCTTGAACAGATAAACTTCCCCCAAAATTGCAATGCTGTAGCCAATGACCAGGCAGCTAGGTAGTACAGTGGATAGAGCTACAGTGCTGGAGTCAGGAAGACCTGAGTTCAAATCCAGTCTCAGATATCTGGCCACAAATCTGGCTGTATGACTCTGGGCAAATCACTTAAATCTGTTTGCTTCAGTTTCCTCATTTGTAAAATGAGCTGGAAAAGGAAATGGCAAACCACTCTAGTATGTTTGCCAAGAAGACCCCCAAATGGGGTCCCAGAGAGTTGGACACAGCTGAAATGACTCAATAACGACAACAATAAAAGCCAATGACTGATGAGTTTACCTTGAACTTAGCTAGGTTGGTCCTCATTCGCCAAGTATCTAACTCATCACTAGGCCAAGACTAGCCTTTCCTGCATGATAGAGCCTGTCAGAGCCTGAGGTCAGTGGACTCTGAGAATATAGGGTCTCCTAGGCACCATAGTGAGGTTATTGTAGTAGGACTTCAGTGGAGTGCTGTAATAAAATGGGTGGGAGAAAATTCTAGGTGATTGAGAAGGGAAAAGGTAAGACTTTCTCCACCTCAGAGGAAGAGGAAACTACAGGGGAGGGGAAAAGAGTGCTAAAGGGGAAATCTGCCCCCTTACCTTGGATCAGGTATCTCTAGGCTCTATCTAGGGTTTTAAAAATACAAAAGAATCATTCTCATATGATATTTCATAATATTGCCCCCCAAAATATTGCTCCCAGGAATTTTATTGCAGAAAATCTCCAATTTGTTGATTCTAGTATATTTACAAAGAGACTGGGTCTAAGAATGAAAGGATTTTCTGTTTGAGGGAGAAAGATCATAGAATTTAGAGGTAAAAGGAACCAGCTTTAAATCAGAGAGGAACTTAGGTCTAAAGAGAAAGAAGGCCATCTAACTCCTGACCTTAGCTTGGGGAATAATGAAGGAGGCTAAGATAGAAAAAACTTTAGTCTGGAAAATTATATTCATGGAATTTCAGAATTGGAAAGAACTTTAAAGCTTACCTCTCTTCTAGTTCAAACTATCTTCTAAAATAGGAGTACCTTCTGCAATGCCCTAGACAAATGGTCATCCAGTCTCTGCTTTTTGAATTGCATTGCTTGAATACTTTCAGGGATGGGGAACTCACTACTTTGCAAGGCATCCCATTCCATTTTTGGAAAGCTCTTATAATCACAAAAGTTTTCCTTATGTAGGGATGACTTGACATCCCATATATAGGCATAAAGATAAGAGGGTCCCTTATGAGATGAAGGTTTTATTCCCATTTAGAAGGGGAGGTAAAGAAAGTCGAATTTGACCCAACTATATTATAATTAAAAAGTTGGCCTAACTGTAGCAAGAATAGGGCAGCTATATGGCGTAGTGGATTGAGCCTTCCTGGAATCAGGAAGATCTGAGTCCAAACACGGCCTCAGATACTTACTAGCTGTGTGACCCTGGGCAAGTCACTTAACCCTGTTTGCCTCAGTTTTCTCATCTGTAAAATGAGCTGGAAGAAGAAATGGAAAACCACTCCAGTATCTCTGCCAAGAAATCCTAAATGGGGTCATGAAGAATTGGACATGATGAACAATAATAATCTGAGAAGAATCTTCCACCAGGCTGTCAAAGCTGTTTGCGACTCAAAAGACATTGAGAACACTAACTCTAGACTCAGTCAAGTGTTCTAAAAGCATAAAAGAATCATCTTCATATAATAGTTCATAAATTTATCACAAAATCCTGTTCCTGCTTAGAATTTTATTTCAGGAAAATTTTCAAATATAGTTTAAATATAGAGCTCCTGTCTCCTTTCCCATCAAAATGCTTATCTTCCCAGATTCATAGGACCCAAAAGGATAATACACTGACGGTGTAGCTTAGGTACATTTACTTTAAGAAACAGAAAGGCAATAGTCTAGTAATGAGAATTCCCACACAGCTGTTTGATGTTCAGCCAAGTTGTCTCCTCAACAGCTCTGGCCTTATGGCCCTCAGGGAACAAATAAGATAGAGAGGTCTGGACTC